TTGGCTATTGCTATCAAAATGGGATTGGAATTAAAAAAAATGAACATAAGGCATTCATTTATTATCAAAAAGCTGCTAATATGGGTAATTCTGTTGCAATATTTCAACTTGGATATTGTTATCTATATGGAATTGGAGTTGAGATTAACAATCATAAAGCATTTAATTATTTTCGACAATCTGCTGATATGGAAAATGCTATCGGAATGAACTTTCTCGGGTATTGCCATCGAAATGGAATTGGAACCATAAGAGATTTAAAAAAAGCCAATTCATGGTATCAAAAAGTAATATGATTTTATTTTTAAATATAACGAAAAATTTTGTGTCAATTTTTGTCAATCCTTTGTTTCGTACGTATTTGACAAGAATTCATTACAACTTCTTCATCAAAATTTCACGCTCACGTGAATATGTGAAACATCAGATAAAATTTTTTAAAGTTCATTATGTTAGATATGTGCCCATATTAAGGTTAGAAATTAGAGAAATATATATAGTAAGTTAAATTTCTCGCGGAAGTTTTTGAAAGAGCACTAAGTGATTTCTTATACTAGTTTTTGAAAACCAAGAAATTCTTTCGTTTCCTTGATCGTATTTTGTAATTTCTGGTTTCTGCAGATTTTCACGTGAGTGTGAAACCATTGTTGACGATTTTTATTTTAGAGGAAGCTACAGGCACAACATTTCAGGTGCTCAGGGGAGTAAAAATGACCAGAATTAGCGTTAGAGTTAAGGTTGGAGCGCTTATACGCACAACAATGGTTGGATTTTCTACCAGCCAATCAAATCGCTAGATGCGCACTGTACGCGAAAAAAATTCATGTATCATATAAATGGCACATCACTAAGTAGATGAAACTCAAAACTATATATAAAATCCCGGAACCTTTTCCGAAACTCTAATACTATAGTGAAATAGAAATTTAAATTTAAACTTTAGAAATGTTTTGGTTACTTTATAGTAAATGTGCATTAGTTATTAACATTCTAATTTAAATGTTTCGGAAAGGCTTCAGGTCACAACTAGTGCTCCGATCGAGTTGACCCGAATGACCCGAAACCAACCCGGTTATAATGAATTTACTATATGAGTCATGACCCATCTAATAAATTTATTATAACCGGGTTGGTTTCGGGTCATTCGGGTCAACCCGATCGGAGCACTAGTCACAACTCTAGTCCGTAGCTTTTCCCGTTGTTTTTGAGTCGTGAGATCACGTATCGAAATATCTGACACCAAATTTTTTTAATGTATTCATACACAATTACATTATTTACAATTCATACATCTAATATTAGAGGAAAAATTAGGCCACTAGGTAAATTATTCTTTTACTTGGCTCTTTTTATTCTCAATTTAAATTAATAAAATTTTCAACTGCAGACGAAATACTATACGAAGATGATATTGATGATATTTATGATAATTTTAAAAAAACTTGTGATGAGAATGAGATTAACTTGTCGTGGATTTGTTATAGTGAGTTCAAGGATATCGATGAGATAGGGCAAGGAGGATTTGCAACAGTATATAAAGCTGTATGGTTAGATCAAAATTATAATCATTATACAAATGTGGCACTTAAGTTATTTCATGGATCAAAATATTTTTATGAAGAAGTAATTTAAATTTACTTTAAGATAACTTTACTTTAAATTAAAATTTTAATATTTACTTTTTTTAATTTTTATAGGTAAAAGCTTATAATAATATTAGTTGCGAAAATCCTTCATTTTTACATTGTTATGAAATATCAAAAAATTATTCCGAAAGTTATATTCTTGTTTTGAAACTTGCAGATTTAGGATCTTTGCGTGAAAATCTTTACAATATGTCTGAAATTAAGTGGAAAGATAAGTTAAATTTACTGCATTGTATCGCAACTGATCTTCAAATAATTCATTCCCAAAAAATAGTTCACCGAGACTTACACAGTGGTAATATCTTGCAAGACACTTTACATAGTGCATATATTGCTGATTTAGGGCTTTCCATCTCATCTGATATAACATTAGAGAAAAGATCTGCTGGATGTTATGGAATTTTACCATACTTAGCTCCAGAAGTTTTAATAGAAGGACTTTATACAGCATCATCGGACATTTATTCATTCGGCATAATTATGTGGGAAATTTTATATGGAAGATCAATTGCTTACGGTCAAAAAATTGGACCAGAACTTCAGATAAAAATATGTTATGAAAACTTAAGGCCTGAAGTTTTAGAAAATTCACCGCCATCTTATGTAAATTTAATGAAGCAATGTTGGGAAAAAGAATTAGACAAGCGGCCATCAGCAGAAAAACTCTGCAAAATTTTTACAAAATGGCAAAATGATAAAAAGATTATATCTGAGCTATCTAAATCTAAAAACAAAATTAAAAGTGATCATCTACAAGCATATCCAAAAACTGATTATAGAAGTAAACTTATTCCTTATACTTCGATTTATCAAGGTTAATAATTTATAAATTTATTTATAAATGATTGCAATTTATTAATTTTATTTACTATACTTATAGATAGCAGGCTAAGTAAACTGGCGCTTCCGATGGACTTGTCCACTTAAAGCCCGAAATCTATGATATTTACTATGAGGGTTTCCTCCACTCACATAATATCGAATATTATTGGCCAATTTACAGTTGCATACCAAATGTCGGCACCCTAAGCTTATTTTACAATCTATTGGAATAGACTTAATAAATTTTTTTTTATTTTAATTCATATTTTAAGATGGTTGAGATGTTTGTTTTTACTAATTAATTTCACGTATGTTTAAAACTATGTTAAAATTTTAACTTGGCAGATAGAAATGACTAGTTGCATGGTTTTTTAAATAACTGATGCATTATAAACGTCAATTTGAACCTTATTTTTACATTATTTTGACTTGAAGTATAAATTTAGATAAACTATAGTTTCCTTGCAATTCAGTTGAAATATCGATACGCATTTTTTCGTATAATTGATTTATAAAAACATTTAGCATTTATTTGTGCGCTACGAGTCATTTTTAATCACTACCGATTGAAAGATCCAATTTATTTTTTTAAATACCAGAAGGGTAAAAATAAAAACTTTATTGTTAAGAATTTTCTTTTAACCATATAGTGCCAATGAATTTTTCATCGTATATGGTAAACAAGTCTTGACCAATTTAATTTTCGTTTAACATAATTCTATTTTTTAAAAAATTTTACATGAAAAAAACCATCAACAAATTGCAATATTAGCTTTATATATACTGTACCTTTACGTCCAATAGAATTACTGTAATTTTATCAAATTCTTTTGTTTTTTTAGTGCTCTCTCTCATTCATATGATTAGGGTACGGAATCGTAAAGGCTATATAATTTTGGAATTTTGAAGCCTATAAAAATAGTGTTCCACAATTGGAGCATAAAACGAAACCAGTATATGTAATTACATGATAACTCATTTTCTACAGGCTTTATTTGCATCTTCCACATGCCTGCTACCATTAGCAGGTCTTCAAAATCAGGTGAATCGGGCTCATATGCTCGAACTCACCTAACTTTACAACAGGAACGTCGAAGAGGCAAATAAAGCCTGTATGCTGAAAGTGGGTTTATCATATAACAACAATTGCACTTACTAATTTAGCTTATGCACCAATTATAGAAAACTATTTTTGCAGCCTCAAAAATTTCAAAATCATACGGGCTACCTGATTCCATATCTACATATGATTTTCTATTTAATTTTACATACTTCTTAATAAAAAATAAAACTACAAAATCTAATTCCATCTATTTTTAATAAATCATTCTTACGCCAGCTTCTCTAAACATATGTGATTAATAAACTTTCCATATACCATTTTTTTTATTTGTAGGTTTATTGTTTTTAAAAAGTACTTTAAACTGCATAAATAATGTAAAATTAACTAGATTTGAACAACTAATCATGTGGAAGTCTATCTATGACCCTCTCCCTACTATTATGTTATTGTATGCTACGTTAAACAAAAAAGTCAATTCGGGGTGTCCTAATTTAAGCTCAGTACACAACTAAAAATTTACTAGGGATAGGAATGGCTCAGAAGCTGTAATAGGCCGGCTAATTTTGAACCGTTCCTATCCCTAATGACTTTGTTCTAGAAACTTGTTTAATTTTAAATTCTATAGCTAAATACTGTAGTTATTCATTTATTTTCAAATTAAATTTCTAAAACTATGATAGGTCAGATATAATTGGGCTTGTCATTTGTTATACCGAAATAATTGGAAATTATTTTTATCACTAATTATTAAAAATATTAACAAAAAGAATTTTCGAAAATTCTATCGATAAAATGTATAAAATGGCATTTATATATGGAGTAAAGCATACTTCATGTGATTTTTACTGTTAATTATGTACGTACAGTTGGCTCCAAAAGTATATCACGGTTACACAAAAAAACATAATAAAAAAAACATAACAAAAATTTATGCAAAAACGCATACGTAATAATTACATAAGTCAATCACGATATTAATACGTAATTAATTAATCACTGTACTAATAAAACGATAAGTTAATCATAGTATTAATCATTAATTCAGCAA